GCATCGCTACTAGTAACAAGTGCCTTACTAGTAGTAACAATTCTCACGCCTTCCACGCAGCTCCATGGAAGTGAAGCTAAAAGCACCTGAACTTGAAGCAAGTTGAATCAATGGTCTAGTGGAGTCCAGCGTCTCCAAGTCGTCGCTAGAGCGGCCTTGTCCTAGCTTGTCCGGGTCCTCACTGCTGAGCTACATTGTCTAAGCCGCTCTTAATAGCAATGACCCCCAACCCAAGAGCGATGACCTCCAACCTAGTGGTGGCCATGATATGGAACAATATAGCATGCTAGAGATCTCAAGTCAGTCCAGGCAAGTTCTGTTCGAGTGATTTCGAGGGCTTCATAACCACCTTCATTCCCTAGCCTGTGGCAAGGTGTCGAGCTGGCCAGCAGAAGATCCCTGGTCCGTTGCAGAGTGGCAACTCTTCTCTGACATTGAGTGTCATTCGCGTCTCTCCGCGCGCTTCAGCGGAACACTTTTTGAAGGCTGGAAGGTTTGCAAGCTAGGCTGCTCTGTGGGGATCAACAAGCTTTTAAAACTTTATCTTGGAAGCAATCGTTACACGGGGTAAGTCTGTAGTGGTTAACATGGGAATTAATAACTCATTAATCAGAGACCAAGTTTTGCAAGTTGGAACTCTGCGAGGGAACGGCAGCTCTGCAGACCTGGCCAATCAACCGGCGTGGGCTCAAGACGGCGTCCTTGACACGACATGGAGCTCACCTTGCCCAGGCCCTGTATTTGAGTCAACATCGTTCACCAAATCACGTCTTGGATCAAATGCCTGCTTAGAGTGCACCAACTTCCACACCTTTTTTTTTTGGGGGGCAAGGTCAAGACAGCATGTCACAATCATACTGTATCCAACTCGCCCAGGCTGAAAGATGAGAGAAATGAAGTAGCATAAGGAAGTAAGCAACGAAGCTACTAGTAGCTCCTGGCATTACTACTAGTAGCAGGAAGCTACTAGTAACAAGGGCATCGCTACTAGTAACAAGTGCCTTACTAGTAGTAACAAGAAGCTATTAGTAACAAGTGCATCGCTACTAGTAACAAGTGCATCGCTACTAGTAACAAGGGCAGATCTTGGCAGCTCCGCCCTACTAGGCAGGACTGATTGCGAGCCCTACCTGGAGGCACAGCTGCAAGTGGCCTCAGAGGTGCGGTGCTTGAGGCGAGGTTTTGCGCAGATCGATCGACTTGAGTCGTTCGGTTCTCGAGTCCTTCTTTCAGAGTCGTTCCCTTGTGGCCAAAATTGCCTCTAACCTAATAGCAATGGCCTCCAACTCCAACCTAGTAGCGATGGCCATTGCTTTTGTATGCTCTTGTCAGTTTTGGTTCTTCAAGCTGCTTTACCAGGCTTGTGCAGGGCCTGCAGGGCAGTGCCGCGAGGGTTTTGTCACTGCAAGCAGGGAGCGGCACGATCTTGCTCAACGTAAGTGGCTTGGCACTTGCAGGATGATGGGGGATGTACCTCAGCAATCGTAGCAACACTCAAAGCATTGGCCAAATAAGGCAAAATCTAACAGGCTACGGTCTCCTGCCCTTGGGGTCCTCAAAGAGGGAGAGAAAGAAGGTGTTTCAAGTGAAAGCTCGAAACTTTAGAAGCAAGGACGCTACTAGGGGCTCCTGGCCTTGCTACTGGGAGCAAGAAGCTACTAGCAACAAAGGGCATCGCTACTAGGAGCAAGGACGCTACTAGGAACGGTCTTTTGCTTCGAACGGAGCAAAGACGCTATTAGCTTATTGTTTCTACTAGCTTCTTGTTACTACTAGTAAGGCACTTGTTACTACTAGCGATGCACCTGTTACTAGGAGCAAGGACGCTACTAGGAACGGTCTTTTGCTTTGGACTTGCTTTTCTGTAGGTGTTTTCTCGCAGCTGGTACCCGCTGGCGGAGTCTGGGAAAACTTGGCCTCTCGTCCCGATGCCACCAGAAACCACAAGTTGACGCTGGTTTTGTAAGTCAGGAACACGCATACAAGCCACACACACATGAATATGAACCGATACAAGTATAAGGAGGTTTGGGATGTGGCCCATCTTGATAGCACACGTGCAATAGGAAGTAGGCTGTTTGGAAACAATCCTAGCGCTACCCAGTGCTATTCCTCGGTTTCCACAATCAGTGGCCTTTCATGTGCTTTTCATCGGGCAGAGGCTTGAGAGTTTGTATGCCCACTGCTTCTTCCTCTGGCCAGCTTCTGGAGAACACAATTTTCCTTATTATGAAGTTTTTTGATGGAAACGCAGTGGAACACATGTTATCACAACTGCCGTCATATTGACTGGAGCTGACACGGGGACTCACTGAGGCACGCTGGGAAGTTGCCCAGCGCAGCCTGGGAACTTTGTGGCGTCTCCTTCCAACAGGTCGGACCGAGCGAGGTGATGAGTTCTTTTTGAACATGTTTTTCAGAGGCTTTTCAGAGAAAATTGTCAGAGCACATCGTCAGCTCTATCTTTTTACAGTCACAGAGTTAGAAAGGAAAAATACGGAAAAATAATGGTCTTACAAAGATAAAGCAACAAAGAACACATGTAAATAGTTGTCGTCCCTTTTTTGCAATCTTGTCGATTTTTGGTGTTTTGCTCTATTTTGCTCGGCCAGTGTCTTCGAACCTCACTGAGGCAAAGCACCAGCAGCTTGGGTGGTTGCAGAGATTGAGCTATTTGATTTTCCGAATTGCTCCGTGGCGCAAGGCGGCGCAAGGGATGTGATGAACTGGCAGCAAATTCAGTAGAATTGCCGGTCGATTCCAGGTGGATGTTTTGTCCTGGGAATTCACCATAGATCATAGATGGCCAAAGTTGACTCCAAAATTGAAATGTCTACCGACAGGTCCAGTTTCACCATAGATGTCCAACTTTGCGTAGAGAGATTTCCTTCAGTCGCTTGGGTTGTCCAGCTTTCTCGGAAGCCCCATTCCCAAGAAACGCTCCGAAGCTGTTCCTCCGTCCGAGGCACTTCGCAAATTTCCACCCTGGCATTTGCATCAGGAAGCCTTCGGGGATCTCCGGCAATCGATGCAGCTGATGGGGACGTCACGACAATATGGGAGGCAAGCAGTGCAGAAGACTCTCTACATTTGGACTGACTTGCCGTCATCGTTTCTGTGTGGTCTAGTGGCAGGCACCACCGCCCACAGAGGAAGGCAGTTCCTGGCCTGGCCGCTATGAGGGGACAAGCAGCGTTTACAGGCTCGGGCTCGGTGTTCTTCTGCAGTTCCGGGGATAACGGGGAGACCATCGCTATTAGGCTGGAGGCCATCGCTCTTAGGCTGGAGGCCATCACTAATAGAAACAAACAAGAAGAACGAACAAGAAGCTTTCTAGGGGCTCCTGGCTTCCCTACTAGGAGCAAGGACGCTACTAGGGGCTCCTGGAGACTCCTGGCCGTAATATGAGGAGCAATGTTCGCTACTAGTAACAAGTGCATCGCTACTAGTAACAAGAAGCTACTTGGAACAAAGGGCATCGCTACAAGTAACAAGGGAATGCTGAACGGCCATCGCGCCAAGAGACCTGTCCAGTTCGCAGGTTGGGTTGGCCATGGTTGGGATTGAGCACAGCCGCGTCCGTACCTTTGTGCCTGCGCTTCTTACAGGCTGGGGCCTAGGGATCTGTTGGCCTTTCGAAAAAAACTAAACAGTTCAGGCAAGGTGGGAGCACTTCTCTTTTGCATTTATGCATGTGCCACCGCTAATGAGTTGGGCCATCTCAACAACTCAGATTTTGCAAGGGTTGTTTGTAATTTGTTGCACTGGGTTTAACGCCCATCCTGTGAAATACAGATTGCAGAGCGTACATCAATGTACTCACAAATCATGCGATTCGTTCAGACTTGTCAGAGAAGCCGAGCCTGTCGCTGATGCTTCTTGTTGGAAGGGCAACACCAGCAGCAGCTCAGTGGATACAGCAGTCTTGCAGCGCTGGAATGGCAGCGCATGGCTTGAATTCCAGGCTCGTCCCAATTGCCTGTGTGCCGTAGATTCTGCCGTATTGGCTGAAGAAAGTAGCTAGAATCTAGAACACAAGAAAAAAAAGGCAAGGGCTCCCCTTGAGGGGCCTTATTTAGAGAGGGCCCGTACCTTCTCCTTTTTCGTGGTGTTTCCCCAGTCTCCATTTCTTTGCGTTACATTCACTTGGCTCTTCTTACGTATGGGATTTTGTGATGCGCCCTGACCCCGGTGTCCACAATCAGCTAAACTCACCCGTAGCTCATTGCAGACAACACTCTTCACCTTTTTCCTCTCAGGATGGCAAGTGAGATACTGCAGGTTGCAACCTGCACTGTAGTGAAAGCTGATAGCCATTTGCCAGCAGAGGTTAGGAACCTATTCATGAGCATCACGAAACAGTGGCGCAATTTGTGACAGCGCGAATGACCTAAACATTCCCAAACCAATTGTATATATATATATACTTGGGGAAGCTGCAGCAACAGTAAGTCCATTTGCGCTTAAATCTTGTGAGGAGGACGTTGCCTGGGGGCTGGTGGCTCCGCAGTTTGGGTCTTTAACTCAAGGCAGGCATTGTGGGGATGCAACTAATGCAGCAATTGAACAATCTTCCACAAGAAGGGAGCTCAGAGGTTTGGTGGGCCGACCTTCAGCTTGATCTCTTCTTTGGAAAGAGCAGAATGAGCAAGTAGTGAACATTTGGAAGGGTCAGCATTTCTCCTTTGCGTGGAACGGTGCAGCCTTTTTCTCAGGTGCCTTCTACAACCCGATATCTTGGCTCCGCTTGCCTTTGCTTGACCGCATGCAATGGCGGATCCTTGCGCCGGGGCCTTTGCAAAGCAATGAGCCCTGAGAGCCTGAGAGTTATAGCAGCGGCCCAAGATGCCACACTTAGTCGCCGTGAGATGCATGAGCCGACCGCAGCATCAGTTGACAAAGATGCAAAAGTAGTCAAAGACAGCATGGGACCATGGGAAAGCCAAGGACAACCAATGAAAGCCAAAGCTACCAACTTCATTGCTGAGGGATATCTTGTACTGTAGTTGAATTGTCTGTCGCGCGTTGTCATTGACATACGCAAATGGAGACGCTCCCCTTGCCACCATCACCGGATGGACTGGCCCCGTTAGATGTGAAAGAGGACGGTGTTTTATGCGCAGCACTCGGATGGACAACTTGAAGCCGCTCTTAATCTGTGCCGTGACTGGCCGTTTCATGGAATTTGTGCGGCTCTGCGTGCACCTACTGAGATTCCAAATTTCTTGGGCCCAAACTTGTCCATTGGCAGGATGTGGCTCACCTTCAGGAACGGACAACTCACGAGGAAGCTGATCCCATGCTTCTTGAGGCGCGAATGGTCCGAGGCACCCATGTTGCGCAGCACTTGCGGCACTGAAATCCAAGGTCATGCAGCAATTTCATGAGTCTCTCTCGAAGCAGCTGGATGCCTTGAGTGCTCGTATTGAGCGGATGTGTGACTTCATCCATGTCCGCATGGCGCCTGACATGCTGCACGACGATCAATTGGAGCACCTAGCCGTGTTCTTGAAATGAGCAATGAAAGAAGCAGAGACTTGTTGATGTACTTGCTTGGGGCAAGCACAGTCGACGGAGTCATCAGACTCCAGACATTTCAGACACAGCAAAGTTGAACATGTCGAGCAATATGTTGCACATGTGAGACTCATGTCGAGCTCAGGCACAGTTTGAAGCAGCTGAAGTCGCCCCACTCCTCCTCCTCCTCCGAAAGCGAAAGGCCCGGGTGGGTCTCGGCCTCGCTCGGTCCGGAGCTTGTCACATGGCGCCAATGATGTCATGTTGGACTTTTTGGCCTCAAGACATCTCACCACTAAAGCAGTGACCTGAGCGGGAGTGAGAGTTGGACTTGCGGGACTCAATCACCAGTCATCAGCAGTCATTCTAGTAGGACCGTGGGATCATGCCGGTTGTCAATTCCTCAGCCAGGCCGCGCAAAGCTGCGTCTAAGACTTCCATGCCTCCCAAGGTTGCGAGGAGAGAAAAGAAGGCAAGGCGTAGTAGTGTCCAAAATGGAAAAGCACACGAAAGGCATGGTGAAGATCTCTAGAGCGTTCATAGCATTGGTGGCCCCTGTTCATTAAGAGTAGCCGCAGATTAAGTCAGCAGTGCACCGTGAATACTGTATCCTTTTTAGCCAATTCCAGGACATGTTCTGATAAAAAGTAGTGTGCCCCAGCGGCGAAGCTGGCTCAGGGCTTAGGGTTCTTCAGCCATCGCAAAGACATCGGAGAAGATTGGAGCAGGTCCCGCTGCACGTTCTAGAGCAAGTTTCCGGAGCAGGTTCCGGAGCAAGTTTCCGGAGCAGGTTCGTTACTGAGAAAGTCGCGCGTGCCATGACCAGCATGTTGACCACACTGCTCCGTGAACCTTACGGCCCAACCTCTTAGGATCCTAGAGCCGCTTCGCTTTTGCATTCGACTGGTCGCTGTGCGGTAAACGGCGTTGCTGTGAGAGGACGCTTTGACAAGTTGGTAGCGGAGCCGCTTGGTTCGGCAGGTGCTTCGACGGGATGCCGATCCCGATCTACCACATGGCTGAGCCACCTGCCGACACGATCCATGGACCCCTTGATGATGAGCTCACTTTGGAGCAGACGCCACCTAGGTCCCCGACCTCTACGGCATGGCGCTGCTTGAGATGCGACTCCACGAGGGCGACCTATGTCACGAATTTCGGTCGCTGGCACTGCCTGGACTGCGGACGCTAAGAGTTCTACCAGGTCGACAAGCCGACCAAAGCGGTGACTTCCACCGGCACGTGGATGTACGTGCCCAATGCGCCTGGTGGCGGACCTGTCGGACCTCCTGAGTCCTCGAAAGGCCGACGTCGGCGAAGGAGGAAGAACATGCGAGATGGAGGACCCCCTGGTGATGAACCTGGCGATGATGACGCCTTCGAAAGAGAGCAAGCCGAGATTGACCAACGACCCTGTCGGACGGCAATAGAAGACCCCAGGGACCTTCACGTGGACACCTTCCGCACTCCGGACTACCTCGCGGAGTTCCCCCGCGACTACCTGGACAACCAGGAGCCCCACTATCTCCTAATGGTCAACGACCAGGCCGTGGTTCCCCTGTACCACCAGTACCTGACCTACAAGTGCTTCAGTGAAGACGCTTTCACGGAAGTCCGGCCTGGAACTCGAAGAAAGGGCCACAGCCCGGAGTGAAGTGGAAATCAGGACAGCGCCCAGCTGTCCCTACCTGGCGCTATGACCAGAACAACACGCGCGCATTTGCCAAGTTCACCAAGAAGATCGCCGTCTGGCGATTGCAGATGGAGGCTTACGCAAGCCCCGAAGAACAAGCCCTGATCCTCTACAATGATTGGAGAATTGGAGCAAGAGCTCGAGCACCTGTCCATCGAGGACATTTACAAGCTTGATGGCATCGACGTGATCATGGGCCTTCTGAAGAAGCCTTTTGAACAGCGCCTCATTTACCAGAAGAGGAGATTCCTCCACGCCTTCCGGCGCTTTCAGGGCGAGTCCATGAGAACCTGTGTACAGACGTTCAGAAGAGTTCAACGGTCACTCAAGGCCGTAGGAGTGGACATCAGCGGAACCTTTGGCTCTGACTCCTTGGGTTCCCGCTTGCTTGACAGAAGCGGTCAAGATCAACGCATGGTTTTGGTGGGGACACAGCAGAGCTTGGAGTTTGAGACCATCGCAGAGAGTCTTATTCTGCAATGGCCAGAGTTCAGAACCGCTCCTCCGGTTGTGAACGAAGACGGCCACTCTAAGGGCAAGGGCAAGCATGCCACTACATCCAGCTCTTCGACATCGCTCTCGACCTTGTCTTCGGCGTCCACAAAAGGAAGCAGCAAGGGCACCATGCCCAGGAAGCAGACCTACCTCACTGAGGTCGTTGCGGATGAAAACGAAGAGCCACCGGAAGAGTTTGAAGATGCACAAGAACAGCTGGATGACGACCCAGCTGATGGAGGTGAAGAGTTGGCCGATCCGGCCGACGAAGATGATGGCCAAGAGGCTTACGATGATGACGTGACCCAAGACTTGGCTTCGTTGGCCCAAGTCCTCACGGTCACGGCACGGAAACTGAGCGGCGTCACTCTAGGCAGGAAGTTCTCCACCGGCAAAAAGAGCAAGAAGTCGCCGGAAGAACTTCGCAAGGTGACGCACTGCAGAGCTCAAGTTGCATGTCAAGAGTGGTCATTTTGCGGTTTGCATTTTAGATTCTTGTCACGAACATGTTCCACCACCACATCTTCGGCATGAGTGGAAAGCACTTTCAGCACCTCACGTTTGGCAAGATCCACATCCTGAGCTTCTTTTGTTGCCACAGCCCATGAAGGTCAAGGTGTGCGCTTCCACTTCGACTGTGAATTCGAAGCCGCCCCCCCGACCTTCCTCATGCTCACGGCGCCTCCAGCATGGCTTCAACGCTGGCGCCGACTGACTGGTTTCGTGCCTGGAAGCCTTCAAGAGGAACGTCTGGATCTACATGGCAGGGGGCGTGCGCCTTGTGATGGTCACCAAGGCATGGCTGCAGCGTGCAGTCCCACCGGAGATGAGCCCGAGGTTCCATCCCGACAAGTGCGACCACAAGGTCATCAAGCGCTATGGCGACGCGCGGAGGTTCGCCCGATGCCAGAGCTGCCTTCGCAAATGGAAGTGGAACAACAAGAAGGAGGACTGGGAAACCTGGTCTTCCCAAGGCGGTGGCTATCTCGCTTCCTCTTCTCGACAATTGCCATTGCCAAAGCCGTCATCGAAGGCAACGGCATCTGCGGGCAGCAGCAGCAACATTTTCGACCTGGACTTCAACCCTTTCAGGTTGAACGAACTTCGAGATGGGCTCACAATCCACACCGACCACCTGACGGAGGACGAGTCCGTGGAGCTCTTCAAGATCCTGGAGCAGCGTTCACCGCTCGAGGCGGAGCCCACCACAGTCCGAGTATGCCTTCCTGAACGAGGAGCACTTCCGACCTCACCGAGAGAAGTTGGAGCTTGCAGCGGGTTGCAAGCGCCACGAGCGCCTGGTGGAGCTGGGCGTGTTGAGGGAGGAGGACGACGAGATCATGGGGCCTCGTCGACCAGATTGTGAAGAGCGAAGGGCCTACGGAGCACCAGCTGGTCCAGCTGGTGCACGATCCATGAACCTCAAGAACGGCCACGCCAAGAGGACGCGGCTCGAGCTCGAGTACAAGGTCTACACTATGAGCCGACCGACAATGGAGAGACCGCCGCCCTATATGTAGACATTTGGGAGCTGTTTGCAGGTTCAGCGAACATGACACGGCTGGCAAGCCACTATAACCTGAACTCCTTGCAGCCCCTCGACCTCATCTACGGCCAGAATTTCAAGGACCCCACCATGCGCAAAATGATCTTCGACAAGCTCGACCACTATAAGCCATGGTTGGTGGTGATGGGCGTGGGTTGGAACCAGTTCAACATCAACTTGGATTGGTCTACTCCTGAGCGCCGGCGAGAACTACACTACCTGCAGGCCGATGAGAAGGTTCTTGTCGACTGCAAAGATCGCACTATACGCCAACACAGAGCTGGGCGCTACTTCCTGTTGGAGAACCCTCAGCGCTCGAGACTCTGGACCTTGGAAGAAGTGATGACCCTTCTCGGTCATTGAGGAGTTTGGGCCACAGATATGACTGTGGAGCATATGGAGCTGAGCTGGATGGTGAACCCATTGCAAAACCTGTGCAGTGGGCCTGCAACCAACCTGGACTACATGAGCAGACGATGACCAGACGGTCGCAAGAGTACCCTGAAGAGCTTCGCGCATTGATCTTCCAAAGAGAGCCGCTACGGTTTGGACCACCTCTACATCAGGTCTATGCCACGGGCCGACAGCGGGCCTCGACCTCTGGAACGACATCGTGCAGTATGTCAGCAATGTCTATGAGCGGGGAGCCACGAAGCCCTTCACTTTCCCACTGGACAGCCCAATGGGGAAAAAGATTCACGAGCTCTTCCGCATCAAGGCCATTCGCATCCAGGCCACCTATGCGCCCACTTCACGGCGCATACCAAGCAACGTGGGCGAGTACTTCACCAGAGCTGCCTTCCTTCAGTATGCTGACAAGACCAGGGCAGTCGAAGTGGAGGACTTGGATCAGATTGAACTCCCCAGACAGCGCTTCGCAAAAGCTTTCGAGTTTGGCATCTTCGCCTACGGACACCGGGTGGAGACAACCTCACCACCTACTCCAGCACCGGACGCGGACCGCGTCATTGTGCCAGGGCTCACTACGGACATCTCCTTCGATGGCGTGACTGGAGTTGACCAGCGCGTGAAGAGATCATTGGCCAGGCTGCGCCTAAACTTGGGACACCCGAGCACTCAGGAGCTGATGAGACTTCTCGCACACCAAGGACTGCAGGGCATGAGGTGTTCCACCTGTGAACGACTTAAACCGCCCCAGGAGCCAAGGCCGACCTCTATGCCCTCATTGGTTGCCGGGCAATTTGGAGATGAGCTGCAAGCCGATGTGTTTTATTGCCGACTTTTGGACTCATCGGCATCTGGCTCTCAGGCCCTACGGGCTACCGCTCAAGTTTAGCTGCGACCCGGACCACGCCTTCAGAGGAGACTTTGAAAAGCGCCTCATGGGCATGGGAGTTTTGGTTGAACACTGTGCGCCCGAGGCACACTACCTCATCGGCATGATCGAAAGGCGTAACGCCATACTGCGGCTCACCATTGAGCGACCAGTTCACGGTCGTGGACCTGGCAGACACTCCTCTCATTTTGGTACAAGCCTGCCACGCCTGCAACACCATGGCATTCACCAGAGCGCGTTCCGCCTATCAGGCAGTCTTCGGAAGGATTCCACAATGATGTGCTCACAGATGGTCAGGTTTTGAGCACTTCAACTGAGCCCTTCCGAGGCCCAGAACCTGCAGGACTTCGAGCAGAGCTGGTACGCAGTGAGGCATTGAAGACCCTGATCGACCTGAACGCCCAACAGCAGTTCCGTCAAGCTCTTTTGCGCAAAACAAGGAACACCAGCATCCCAGATCTACAGCCTGGACAACGATGCGCAGTGTGGCGATGGACTAAGAAAGGAGTCCGGAAGAGAGGGGCCTGGCTAGCAGCCAGATTCTTGTCATGGGATCCCTCTCATGAAGGCCAACAAGCGTGGGTGCAACTTGGTGCATCGACCACTTTGGTCACTGCTGAACAGCTCCGCACTGGCCAGACGAACAGGACATCAAAGTCCTGAACGATGCCAGCAAGAACTTCGGCCAGCGCATGCTTGAGGATGAGCGTGGACCGGCACCTCCTCAGGAGGCTTTGACCCAGGACGCTCAACTGGAGCAAGAAGCCCTCGAATACGATGGCACGGCACCACCTATGACACCAGCAATGGCAGTACCGGCGACACCGGCGCAAGCAGCAGAAGCAGCGCCAAGCACACCAGCGCCACAACCATAGGGCAGCGCGACCACAAACGTGCAAGTCAACATCGACAGCCCAACACACATGCATCAGCGTCACGCCACGGTGCAACGGTGCAAACATTACAGCGGTTTGGGGACCTCCCCAAAGCACTTCGCACACCAAGGTCTAGAGGACCACCAACACCCTTGGAATCTGCACACTCCAAACGGACACGCGCATCATTGGCTGAACAACCAGCCTCAAGCACTGCACCTTTGGCAAACATTGCCACGGGCGAAACAGCACAAGAACCGACGCAGCACAGCGAGTTTCACACAGAGTCTCACCCACCACAGGTTCACACCATTTTGGATGAACCCACAGAGCTGCCAGGAACGGCGCCAGATCCTCAAGTCACCTTTGCGCACACACACACACCAGCAGGACTGGTACCCGTACCAGATGATGAGGATCTCAATGAACCACAGGCAGCGCAAGAGCAAACACTGGCAGAAACCGACACAGCAGCTGCAGAAGCCCCAGCAGAGCATTCAGCCACAAGCAGAACCACAACAAACCCCACGAACAATGGACGATGGCCCACTTCCTACACTACCACTGAAGAGGCCACTCGACACCTTGGCACTTTCACTTGAGGAGAACGGCACCTTCTCTCTAGCAAGCAGGTTTTGGAACGGCGCACCACCACAGCACTATGGACCACCGAGCAGGACATTCTTCAAGTGCTACACCACAACCAAGCAGAGACCGCAGGACATACAAGGCATCAACAAACCGGCAGAAGAGTCTGACACATCGGTGGATTCCGAGGACTATTCAACATCAACAAGCAGCAAACGACAACGGCCACAGCATCACGCTGCAGGCCTCACGCGGCAAGAGCGCAAGCAGCTTGACCGGGAAATTCTCTGGCGCCACATCTTGACCATGCTAGCCGCCTACATAGACAAGTTCCTCGCGGCAATCGAGAAAGAAGCTGGAAGCTGGTCAGAGTGGCAGAGTGTGCGGCCATTGTCAAAAGAAGAATGCCACAGAGTCCTCCAGGACAAGCTCCTCAGAAAAGGATCATGCGCAGTCGCGCATGCTACAGAGACAAAAAAAGTTGGCCAAGGTGAAGTCAAGGCCACTCTCCAACACCCGGCAGGACAATCGAGATGGTCTGCTACCAGATGATTGTCTCTGGGCTCAATGGCGAGCTGTTCAACACCTCCTTGCGATGGTCAGCATGGGCAGGAGACGCCCAGACGGCCTTCTTGCAAGGCCGACAGAAGGACAGCGAGAGACCCTTCCTTTGTACATGAAAGCTCCCCCGGACCGCCTCAACAAGTTGCTGGCCCCACGACCTCTACTAGATCATGGGGAACGTGTATGGCCTCTCGAACGCTCCACATCTGTGGAGTGAAGAAGTCGCCTCCAAACTCTCCACCATGTCCTACAGCCGCCATGCCTTTGACCCTCAGCTCTTCATCAAGAGGGATGACCGCGATGACCCAATCTCCATGGTCCTCGTGTATGTGGACGATTTCCTAGAGAAGACTACGATATCTCTGAAGTGCATCCGATGGGGCGATTTGAAGGCCTTCGAACCTGGCAACCCCATCGCCTTCAAGGGGAAAGCGCTCCTGATCCAGGAGACAGCAGCTGGTCGCTTCAAGATGAGCATCGCAATGGAAAAGTTCAGCCCAAGTTGACCGCCTCAGAACACCAAGAATTCAGATCGGTCAGCGGCTTTTTGCAGTGGACAGCAACACAGTGCCGTCCAGAGATGTCGCCACTGGTGTCCCTGGCCAATCAGGGAGCTGAGACCAGCTACTTGCGCCTGAAGCAGCTCTACGATGGCATCGAGTACTTGAAGAGCACGCCAAGCCAAGGGCTACTGGTCCAAGACCTTCCGTTCCGGAAGGATGCGCTGATTTTGGCATACTCTGATGCCAGCTGGTGCAATGCGAGCCGATCCGGTTTGCAAATCGGCCTGATGGTCGGGATGACTTCCTCCCGGCCGTGAAGCAGCAGCCCATGAAGTTCACCGTCCTGGACTGGCGCAGCTGCAGGGCACCTCGAGTTTGCAGGTCAACGTTGGCCGCTGAGTCATGCGCGGCGGACGAGTCCGCAGACAGGGCAAGCTACCTCAACCGCACGGTGTCCGAGCTCCACTACAACGAGCCAGCGCACCGCGTAAGGGCTCGCATGTCCATGGCCCAGGCGATCGACGCCAAGTCCCTCAACGACGCCTTGCTGGCAGACGCTCCGAACATCTCGGACCGTCGGAGCCTCGTCTCACTCCACTCCGTGCAGGAGGTCATGAGGCCAGACCAAGTGCACTGGGTTCCAACCCACTATGAGTTTGCGGACGGCCTAACCAAGTGCGACGACAAGCTCATGGTGACGTTCAGGGCTTGGTTGGAAGACCCCGTCTCCATTCTCGTAGAGCGCCCTGAGAACGCCAGCATTCTCCCAGGCTTGAGGACAGTGTGGTCAAAAGAAAGAAGACCAGTCAAAATCGCGCGTGCCATGACCAGCATGACCACACTGCTCCGCGGACCTTACGGCCCAACCTCTTAGGATCCTAGAGCCGCTTTCGCTTTTGCATTCGACCGTTCGGTGTGCGGTAATTGGCGTTGCTGTGAGAGGACGCTTTGACAAGGGTTACAAGGTTGGGAGAGTTCCGGAACAGATTCCATCATATCTCATCATATCTCCAAGCTCTGCAACAATTCTCGCAGAAAGGCTGACCTATTTGCCCTGCTGTTTTGCTGGGATTGTCGCGGCGTAGTGACTACAAAGTGCTGACGTGTCATCAAGCTGGTGTGTTATCACGCTGACATGTTGTCACGCCCTCAGGCTCGATGTTCGTATGGTGTCTGCTGTCATGTCATGTCGACATTAACGAATTTTGTCCGTGCAACGAGTGCTAAGTGGATGTTCGACAACTGGGCCCCCATTTTGGATCAAGATGCTTTCTCCCGCCCTCCCAGCCCTGGAAAACTCAGAAGGGCACCCGGACCCTCTGCTGCTGAGTGCAATTCGATTGAGTAGTGCAGCCACGTCACTCAGGGCTGAGATCCACCATCTCAAGGTGCAAGAGGAAAAAGCAAAGCAACAGCTTGATCCTTACCCTAACATGTTGACACTCTATCACGCTAACTTGCAAACATTCTGTCACGCTGACCTGCAGTGTTTGCTGACGCGCGAGCATGTTGCCAAGCTGGCGTGATGTGGTGTTGTCACCCTCAAGTGCTGACATGATGTCCAGCCGGCGTGTTGTGTCTAATTCCATCATGGGGACGGGTACTGTATGTCATCGCGCTGATATGCTGGCGTGATGGTGTTACGCCGACATGCTGTTTGGCCATCATGCTGGCGCGCTGACACGGGTCGCCCTAACATGCTGACACGTTGTCACGTTGAGATGCTTGCACGTTCCAGAGTGGGGTTCCAGAGCAGGTTTCCTGGCTCTTGTTTGTTGATCATGTTGCGGTGGTGTCATGCTTGCCGAACATGTTGGCGTGACACACCGCCGTGCTGTGATGCTTGTGTGGCACATTGATAGAGCTTACGTGTTGCAAAGCAGCATTGTCTGGCAAAGACAGCGCAGCGCTTGTTAGTGAACTTCCGAGGCTGCCATTGCCCGATACGTGGGTTCACACCCGTTTTTTCCCCTTACTTCTTGCATGATTCTATCCGCTGTTGGTCTTGTCGAGGTGCCCACCCAAATTTTGGCGATGGAGGCGCTGGAGATGGATATCTCCAATAAGGCCCTTGGTTGCAAACAGGTCGATGCTGGAAGACTCCTTAAGGAGTTTCGCGTGACCATAGAGTGCACAACATTGATTGGACATATTATGGTGTATGGTGTCAACACCAGAGGTAAACAAGAAACCTGAACCTTTTTGTGCAAACAAATACACCATTTGTTTGTAGCTACTTAGGCCACTTATATAAGTGAACTAGCTATTGCGGCCTCCCTGCCGGAGTCACAAAAAGTACTAATTCCCATTTTCCCATAAAAAGGATCCCTTATAGAAACCATACCAAGGGGGTCAAATGGAATGGAAAAAATCTAAACTTACAAGGTCTTACGCTGTGAGTCGGCCTGGAGCCGATTCATGTCATAAACAGATTTGGGAAACTCTAATCTTCACCTTCCAAGGTCTTGGAAACAAAGAAACAAACCGCTTCGCGTTATCTCTTCGCTTCTCAGGTGATCGGGTGGAAGCGACAAACCTCAAACAGCCCTGGAGTCTCCACGAGCGCAGAGGCCTTCCTACAGGGCCCGATGCGAAGGCACAGCTCTGACAAGCGAAGGGCCAACCTGCAGGATCTTCAGGACGCAGAAAGTCAGATTGACCATTTTGGGCTACCGGTTGCCAGCAGACAAAGCCTGACAAAGCATATGCCGCCAGTATGTGGCTGCTGTGGCTCTTTCCACTTTGTCGGTCTTCCTGAGAAGAGATGTGTTCCTGAAATCTTGGGCACTAGTAGCGTCCTTTGTTCGCAGTAGCGATGCCCCTTGCTCCTAGTAGCGTCCTTTGCTCCTAGTAGCAAGGCCAGGAGCCCCTAGTAGTGTCCTTGTTACTACTAGTAAGGCACTTGTTACTAGAAGCGATGCACTTGTTCCTAGTAGCGTCGTTCCGCTTTGAGAGGAGGGTGAGGCAAATGTGCAGCACCTTTGTGTGCCTGTGCCCGGCGTGGTGCCAGAGCCCTCGCGAGCAAAAGAGTCAAAGGAGGCGCTATCGATTGTGTTTCTTCGTTCACCCTAGTAGCAATGGCCTCCTACTAGCTTCTTGTTACTAGTAAGGCCAGGAGCTACTAGTAGCGTCCTTGCTCCTAGTAGCGATGCCGTTTGCTCCTAGTAGCGTTCAGGTCTTGGGCACCCCTGGTCACATATATGCATGTTTGCATCGGACCGTCGAAGATTGGCGCCTGACAGGAAGAGCGCGCAAGCGCGGCAAGCGGGGCAAGCGCGGCAAGGCATAGCTGCCCAGCTCCTGGAGCCCGGATGGAGGCACCTTGTTACTAGTAGCAAAACGCTACTAGTAGTAAGGCCAGGGAGCCCCTAGTCCCTAGTAGCATCCTTGTTACTAGTAAGTAGCGATGCCCTTTGCTCCCGGTAGCATCCTTGCTACTAGGCGATGGCCTTCAACCTAATAGCGGTGGCCTCCACCTAGATAGTAGCGTCCTAGTACTCGTAGCTTTGGGTTAGTATCTATGGCGTCCTTAGCATTTTTCTGAGCGGACAAGGTGGTGTTGTGTTGAATAGGAGACACTGTTGCGTGAGGCCATCGCTTCGGCAAATGAAGACGAGGGTTCGTTGCAGGCGTCGCCCAAGTCGAAGAGGCGCGTCAGCAGCGTGGCTTGGCCACTTCAGTTCCCCCAATTGGGGTGTGAATACTTGGTGATCTCAACTTGTCCGGGCAAATTGTCGGGGTCGTCTGTGGAAAGTTTCGCACATCTAACCTCAGCTGAGGTGGCATCGACACACAATTTGAGGGATGTATTCAAAGCAAAGGAGAATCAGCTCGCAGCAGACCTGTTCCAAGGATGCGGGGCGCCATGCCGTATGTAACTGCAAGTCGCAACGGTCCAACAGTTGTCGCTGTTGAGTGGGCCAATCCATGGCTATTACAATGGAGGCCATCGCTACTAGGGTGAAGGCCATCGCTATTAGGATGGAGGCCATCGCGGAATAAATGTCCGATCAGCGACTGAGGGTCCGGATCAGCGACCAGGATCAGCGACTGCTGGATCAGCGACCACTTTTCCCGGATCAGCGACCAATTTTCCCGGATCAGCGAGCAAGAACTATAGGATCAGCGACTTTCGGAGCGAGATCAGCGACCATGGAATAGCGATCATGTTTCCGGATCAGCGAGATCAGCGACTCAGGGATTGTGACGCTGTATGATCCGATATGGTTGCTTTGTTCTTTTTACTTTCCTTTGCTAGACCTCTCTGGTGACCGATCCTGGCGACCGATCCGTTATGGTTGGTTTGGTACGTTTTCCGTCCCCTTGCTAGACCTCCAGTATACATGCCAGTATACATTGAAGTCCAGCATGCAGGTTTGCAAGCTTGTTAGCGGCGACCGATCCGGTATTGGTCGGTTTCGTGCGTTTCACTTTCTTTTGCTATACCGGGCTATACCTCCGGTGACCTCCGGTGACCGATCCTGGCGACCGAGCGACCAATCAAGTGTGGATCACCGACCACGCCGGAACGACCGGGGATCTATATAGATCTACCGCTGAGACATCAGCGAACAGTGGTATCGAGCAGGGAATCTAATTACATCTAGTAGCCGTTTTGATATACTCTTCTGCAGACATACATAGAAGCAGAGAGGCAAAAACAATTTTTTGGGATACATGTTAGCAGAGCCCCAACTAAAGAAAAGACACTAACTTAGAAACCACCGCTGCTTGACTACAGCAGCAGCTGCAGTGCCATGTTAGTGGTACAATGAGTGTTTTTTTGAAAAAACACTAACCTAGCAGTCATCCAATTTTGGCAGGGTCACAGTCTATCCAGGGTCACAGTCTATCCAGGAGGCAACACACGCAGGCCGGCTATGGCTGGCTTCCATGTTAGCGGTGCAAACTGTGCATTTCCATGGATTTCATTCTGCTTCCATGTTAGGCTTCTTTCCTACATTTTTTAGACCTTTCCCTAACATAGCAGCCAGACATATAGCTTTGCAGTGCCATGTATTTAGGCCTTTTTTAGTCCCTGGCTTCCATGTATAAGAGCGGAAGTGTATTACTATTATAATATAGATCAAGAGCACACATCAAACCAGTGTACAGTGCAAAACCTTCTTTTCATTCACGGTCGCCATACCCAGTGCATCCAATATGCGCAGGTATCTCTGTAGCATGTATTGTAGCTTGCTAGTTGCATCCTTGTGGTGTTTTGGACGCTTTAGAATCCTTTGCACTCGTCATAGCTTTCTCACTAAGCCCGTCTGAGTGTTCTTGTCGGAGGATGCCCCGATCTTTTTCTTTGTCTCTAGCCGTTCAGCGACATTACAGCTGCATAACTCGCCTGCTCACGTTGTTTCAGAAACCCCACTTCACAGTTGCTTGACGCATGCACTTTCATCTTCCAGATTCAGGAGATTTGAAGTCGGCGGAGCTTGGATGACAACCTCCACACCCAGAGTCACTGCCCCAAACATGGCTCCAAGAAAGGTCGATGTCGCCGCCTCCGTGGCAAAGCATTTTGCTCTCTCTCTCTCTCTGTGTATATATATATACCCCAGACAGCAACGCCAACCGCCATGACCACAACCACAACAGCAACGAAAACAACCACCAGGCACCGCCATGACCACTAGTACTGGCTTGGCGTTTTAGGGTTTTAGGGTTAGGGTTTAAGGTCAGGTGTTTAGGTTTTAGGGTTAGGTTTTTCGGGTTAGGGTTTCCACGACTACTAATACAACTATTAGTATGAAAACTATTATCACTACTATTACTACTTCCCCGGTGGTTGGCTAGCTTTGACTTAAAACCTAGGTTGTAAGTACCCCTAACCTGCTTATAACCTTGGTTATAAGTTTGCTAACCTCTTTAAGGTTTAGCTTCAACTTAGCCTTCACTTGGCTACGCCTATAGTACTTATAAGTACTTATAACTTAGAAGTATGACTTAGCTAAGTCACAGCCTAAGACTACCACTACTAGTGCTACTACTATAACGATTACTAACATCACAGTTACGACTACTACGACCACTAGTACTATTTCTACTACCTTCTACTACATAAAACTAGCTACTACTGCCTACTACCGCCTACTACTACCTACTACCTACGACGACGACGACGACTACTACTACTACTACATACTCCTTCTACGACTAACCACGACTATTACTACTGCTACTACAACAACTACTACTACTAGGTTTTAAGGCTACATTTTTTAGGGTTACGTTTTAGGGTTAGGGTATTTTCGACTACTACGACTACCATTTGTAATATTACTAGTTTTCCAATTTGTCATAGTACTTCCATTACTACCACTACTACTACTACTACTGCTACTACTACTGTTTGGTAGCAGTAGTAGTAGTAGTAGTGGTAGTAGTAGTAGTAGCAGCAGTAGTAGTAATGATAGTATTGTAATACTACTACCACTACTACTTCCACCACCACCACCACCACTAGTACTACTACTACTACTACCACTACTACTACTACCACTACTACGGCGACGACGACGACTACTACTTCTACTACTACTACTACTACTACCACTACTCCTACTACTACTACTGCTACTACTACTACTACTACTACTACTACGACTACGAGGTTGTAAGGTTAGGTTTTTGGGGTTAAGTTTAAGGGTTAGGGTTTTTACGACGACGACGACAACGACGACGACGACGACGACTACTACTACTACTACTGCCACTACCACTACCACTACCACTACCACGACCACGACCACTACCACTACCACTACCACTACTACTACTACTACTACCACTACTACTACTACTACTACTACTACTACTACTACTACTACTACTACTACTTCTATTCGAATGACGTAGATAATGCTTCTGCTGGGCAGACATTGAAGTCCAGCGTATACATAGTTTTCCGACTGCGAGTTCAAGGCGTTCCGCCGAGATTGTCATCCAGCTCAGGTTGGGTGGCTACCCCAGCTCAGGTTTGATCGAATCTATATTGATGTGTTTTCAATCCTGGTCACCTTTTGGCTTATAGAATGGGAGGGGTCAACCCCTCGACCCCTCCCATAAAACGATTTATAGATACCAGGGGATAGGAGAATAGGGGAGGTGGGCCCTCCCAGTTTATAGAGAAAGCGGGCTTGTTGCAGTGTGTGTACAAGTTCTTTTTGTCAGTTGATGTGAACTGCACTCATCCGATCCGTAGTCGTTTGATCATGAAATTTGATCAAGATGAGCGCTCCTGCTGATTACCGAGTACCGGGCCCATACAATGTCAGAAGATGTCCTGCCAAAATGGCAAGATGTAGCCCCCGGTATTCAATGAGAAGCATGAGTGTTGGGAAGCACACTTGGTGTATTTCAGTAATTTTACTTGTGGGTTGTCCTTTGGATCAATAACTTCACAGCTTTGGGACCTGGCAGGATCTGGGAAGCCTATAGGCCGCCTTTTCTCTAAAACCTGGCAGTCCCCACACCTCATCTCTATAAAATGGCATGCCTTAAGCCGGTCTGCTTGTAGACCTGTTGTGGAAATATTTCTACTGCCCACAGCAGAATTCCTTATGGCAGGCTGAACATTACTTTTGCATGCGCGCGCGCCTTTAGTTCACAGCATTGAGGCCCAGTCCAGCAGACTTGGCAGATCCCCGTAGGGCCTGGCAGCCCCGGCCCCACCTCATCTCTATAAAATGGCCTGCCTTAACCCCCTCACCGCTGTATAGAAAGGTTTGCCTTTGGACTTGTTTACAAAAAAGTGGCCAACAATGGTTTTGTATCTACTGTATATAAACAGATCTATTTGTGGGCTGCCTTTTGGATCAAGCATTGGGGCCCAGCCCAGCAGACCTGGCAGGATCTGGAAAGCAAACTTTTTCTCTATAAATTGGTATGGTTTGACCCCCGCACCACTGTATAAAAACGTTTGCCTGTAGACTTGTTGTGACAATTTTCCTAGGGCCCACACATGGAACAAGATAAATCAAGCTTCAAAGACTCAAGAAAACTATAGCGCCCAGAAATCTTGCCTTTATAAATTAGAAAACATGCAGCCTCAGAAGTGATTGAAATTCAATGAAAATCATAGCAAAGCAATAGAAACATGACCTGCAGACTACTCATTTTATATAAATTCACGTTAGGTAGGCTTTTCAATTTATACACGTGTGGGGGGGTTGGGCCACCCATTTAATTTCTATAACATGGGTAGAAGGACCCCCCCTGGTGAAAGGTATGGGGGATTGTTTTCACATGGTTTTTCAACAACCTATTTCTTGAGTTTAGGATGTTTTGGAAAAAGTCTGGACTCAGGGATTGTGACGTTGTATGATCCGGTATGGTTGCTTTGTTTCTTTTTCTTTTCCATGATAACTAGACCTCTCTGGTGACCGATCCTGGCGACCGATCTATATGGTTGGTTTGGTTTGTTTTGCTTTCCTTGGCTACACCTGTCTGATGACCGACCCCGGCAACTTTTCCGGTATAGTTGGTTTGTTTTGTTTTGCTTTCCTTCGCCGTACCTGTCTGGTGACCGATCCTGGCGACCGATCCGGTATGGTTGGTTTAGTACGTTTTCCTTTCCTTCGCGAGACCTCTCTGGTGACCGATCCTGGCGACCGATCCGGTATGGTTGGTTTGGTACGTTTTCCCGCTAGACCTCTCTGGTCACTGATCCTGGCGAGGTTTGTTCGCCATGCCTGGGTAGCGTGGGTAGGAGCATGCGGGTGATGTAGATCATGCCAGTATACATTGAAGTCCAGCATACAGGTTTGCAAGCTTGTTAGTGGCGACCGATCCGGTATTGGTCGGCTTCGTTTGTTTCATTTTCTTTCGCTATACCTCCGGTGACCGGTCCTGGCGACCGAGCGACCGATCCGTTGAGCTTGGTCACCGGTCAGTGTTTTCCAGGCACCGATCCGTGATTTCCGGTCATCGATCCGTGATTTCAGAAGCCCCACTTCACAGTTGCTTGACGCATGCACTTTCATCTTCCAGATTTAGGAGATTTGAAGTCGGCGGAGCTTGGATGACAACCTCCACAGAGTACCCAGAGTCACGGCTCCAAGCAAGGTCGACGTCGCCAGTGGCAAAGCATTTTGCTCTCTCTCTCTCTCTCTCTCTGTGTATATATATATATACCCCAGACAGCAACGCCAACCGCCATGACCACAACCACAACAGCAACGAAAACAACCACCAGGCACCGCCATGACCACTAGTACTGGCTTGGCGTTTTAGGGTTAGGGTTTAAGGTCAGGTGTTTAAGTTTTAGGGTTAGGTTTTTCGGGTTAGGGTTTCTAATGCAACCATTAGTGTGAAAACTGTTCTCACTACTATTACTACTTCCCCGGTGGTTGGCTAGCTTTGGCTTTTTACCTAGGTTGTAATTACCCCTAAGCTGCTGATAACCTTGGTTATAAGTTTGCTAACCTCTATAAGGTTTAGCTTCAACTTAGCCTTCACTTGGCTACGCCTAGAGTACTTATAAGTACTTGTAGCTTAGAAGTATGACTTAGCTAAGTCACAGCCTAAGACTACCGCTACTTGGTACTACTTCACAATTAAGACTACTACGACTAGTACTACTTCTACTACTACTACTACTGCTACTACTACTGGTGCTACTACTACTACTACTACTACCACTACTAGTGCTACTACTACTGAAGTCCAGCGTATATGTAATTTACCAACTGCGAGTTGAAGGCGTTCCGCCGAGATTGTCATCCAGCTCAGGTTGGGTGGCTACCCCAGCTCAGGTTTGATCGAATTCATTTTGACGTGCTTTCGCAAACGCAGGGTTTTTCAACAACCTATTTCTTGAGTTTAGGATATTTTGGAAAAGTCTGGACTCAGGGATTGTGACGTTGTATGATCTGGTATGGTTGCTTTGTTTCTTTTTTTCCTTAGCTAGACCTCTCTGGTGACCAATCCTGGCGACCGATCTATATGGTTGGTTTGGTTTGCTTTGCTTTCCTTCGCTACACCTGTCTGGTGACCGATCCTGGCGACCGATCCGGTATGGTTGGTTTGGTGCGTTTTCCGTCCTCTTGCTAGACCTCTCGAGCTCTGGTCACCGATCCTGGCGACCGATCCGGTGTGGTTGGTTTGTTCGCCATGCCTGGGCAGCCTGGGTAGGAGCATGCGGGTGATGTAGATCATGCCAGTATACATTGAAGTCCAGCATACAGGTTTGCAAGCTTGTTAGTGGCGACCGATCCGGTATTGGTCGGCTTTGTTTGTTTCATTTTCTTTCGCTATACCTCCGGTGACCGGTCCTGGCGACCGAGCGACCGATCCGTTGAGCTTGGTCACCGGTCAGTGTTTTCCAGTCACCGATCCGTGATTTCCGGTCACCGATCCGTGATTTCAGAAGCCCCACTTCACAGTTGCTTGACGCATGCACTTTCATCTTCCAGATTTAGGAGATTTGAAGTCGGCGGAGCTTGGATGACAACCTCCACAGAGTACCCAGAGTCACTGCCCCAAACACGATCCTGGTGACCGATCCGGCCCTCAGCCAGGCCATCGCTAGTATGGTGGAGGCCATCGCTAGCAGTATGGAGGCCATCGCTAGTAGGGTGGAGGCCATCGCGAAGCCATCGCTAGCAGGCTGGAGGCCATCGCTATTAGGATGGAGGCCATCCCTTCCCTAGCAGGATGGAGGCCATCGCTAGTAGGGTGGAGGCCCCCGCCATCGCTAGTAGGGTGGAGGCCATCGCTATTCGGACAATAGCAGGATGGAGGCCATCGCTATAGGGTGGAGGCCATCGCGAAGCCATCGCTAGTAGGGTGGAGGCCATCGCTATTAGGATGGAGGTCATCCCTAGCAGGATGGAGGCCATCGCGAAGCCATCGCTAGTAGGGTGGAGGCCCTCGCCATTAGGATGAAGCCATCGCTAGAAGGGTGGAGGCCATCGCTATAGGGTGGAGGCCATCGCGAAGCCGTCGCTAGTAGGGTGGAGGCCATCGCAAAGCCATCGCTAGTAGGGTGGAGGCCATCACTATAATAGGATGGAGGCCATCGCTATTAGGATTGAGGCCATTGCTACTAGGGTGGAGGCCATCGCCATTAGTATGGAGGGCATCGCTATTGGGAATGAGGCCATCGCTAGTAGGGTGGAGGCCATCGCTATCAGGATGAAGCCATCGCCATTAGGATGGAGGGCATCGTTACTATAGGGTGGAGGCCATCGTCACTAGGATGGAGGGCATCGGTAGTAGGGTGGAGGCCATCGCCACTAGGATGGAGGCCATTGCTAGTAGGGTGGAGGCAATCGCCATCAGGATGGACGGCATCGCTAGTAGGGTGGAGGCCATCGCCATTACTAGTAGGGTAGGGTGGAGGCCATCGCCATCAGGATGGAGGGCATCGTGAGTAGGGTGGAGGCCATCGCCATTAGGATGGAGGGCATCGCTAGTAGGGTGGAGGCCATCGCTATTGGAATGGAGCCATCGCTATTAGGATTGAGGCCATCGCTAGTAGGGTGGAGGCCATCGCCATTAGGATGGAGGGCATCGCCAGTAGGGTGGAGGCCATCGCTAGTAGGGTGGAGGGCATCGCTAGTAGGGTGGAGGCCATCAGGATGGAGGCCATCGCTAGTAGGGTGGAGGCCATTGTTACTGGGGTGCAGGCCATCGCTGGTAGGGTGGAGGCCATTGCTATTAGCATTGCCTTGCTTAGCTTCACATGGCAACCCGTGGCTATGACAATCCGGAGCCTGCGGATCCAGGACGGGACTTGACACCAGCTGAAGATGACGAGTTGGAGGTAGATGAGGGTTCTTCAGCTCATCTGGCGCCACGGGGTCATCAGTGGCTAAAGCTGAGCTTTCTGAACGCTTGGACTTGCTTGAACATGTTTTTTCTTTTTGCGATGATGTTCTATTTTTTAAATATTTTCATCCCTTTTCCATGGAAATCGCCATCACACCTAAAGTAGACCGCTCCGAAATGGACTACGCTTAGCCGCTTAGCCTCGTCACGTGTTCCGGCCAGGGGCGGTTCCATTCGGAGGAGGGGTCGTTTTGGATCTTGGTAGATTAGGATTCGGCTCGAAACTTTAGGAATGAGGACAGGAACCAAAGGAACCCGCAAGGCTGCATGCTCCCAAATTTATCACCATGCCCATGGCCGAGGGATACCTTTGTGAGTGTCTACGCCTCACGTGTTCTTGGGCTGGTGCCGTGGTGCCGCATGGATGCTCATAGCAGTTGGCATAGCCGTGCTGGTGCTATGTTTTCCAGGCATGGCAGGTCTACAGTGACAGCCAATGCAAAAGCAATTGGTTTCTAGCAGGTTGCAAGTGCATGGTTGACAAGTCAAACTTGAAAGCGGGTTCTCTAGGGGGTGTCTTCCAGGCTGTATCACATCCTCATCGTATTGGGCTTGATCGCACATATAGTGAGCATGGTAAGCCACTTGAGCTTCTGCAACTGGGCGATTGAGATTTGTTTGCTCTTTTCTCCAGGGATCCGAGATTCCGGAGGATGCATGACCAGTTTCTGACTAGTTTGAGCTCCCACAGCGATTATCTCATTATAGCAGCTTGGAATCTTGGAATGTCCAGGATGTCCAAGGGACAGGAAATCAAAGGCATCAATGGGAGCGAAGGTACTAACTGTGTTGAGGTTTGGGCAATTCAGTTGTCAGACGCTTTAGCTTGCTTTGATTGCAGTTTTTCATCGAGTAGAACGTCAAAGCATCTCAGGAGGCTGTGGCGTTAGGTGGGTTTTGGTAGCAGAGTTGGTCCGAGAACCACAAGGAGCCTGCAAGGCCGTATTCGGTGGCCACATCTCTCAAAAGGCGCAGGTGAAAAACACCCGGCCATGCCCTTTTGGACTTCGTTAGTGGTCTCCACTGGCTCACGCTCACTTGAAAAGGGTGGGGATGTTCAGATCTGAGGCTACATGAACTCCGATGATGACTGGTGCCTGAGCTCATCATGGCCTCCAGCGGCAGTGGATCTGGGCTTGTTTATCGGGGCCCTTTTGGTGTTGCTGAGCTGTGGTGGTATCAGGTACGAGGAGCAAGTGCGACAATTGAATTTGTGTGAGTCTGAGTTTGCAGGAAATTGTGGACAGATACATTCCACATGCCCCAGTCATGCATGCTCATGTTGTCTTTGTTACGAAAGTCACCCGGCAGGCTAGGCTGAAGTTCCATATTTGCGAACGAAGCAAGTTCTCGGGGTCTGTGGGGGTTCTGCCGAAAACGGAAGAAGTTGGTGGAACGATGTTATGGTGCAAAAGCTTGCCAACTTGTCCGTTTTTGGAGCACTTTGGGGAGAGGTGGATGGGTGCTATGGGATGAATAGATTGCAAGTGTGAGTTTGCATGTGGACAAACCAGGCCACTTGTCAGTATGTTTCATGATGTGTTTCATTTGGCCATTATGGCCCGAACCTGATTCCACCTTAGGGTGGGTGATCGATCTACCGCTAATGGCGCCCGTGTGAAAAGGTGCGAGACTTTGTGCGCCGCACTTCGAGTTCGGGAACTTCGTGCGTTCTGAACCGCCACTTGGTCCTTGGTCCTCCGCAACCAGTGTCCAAGTGACATTGGTAGCGGAGCTGGCACGCTCCAGCCAGCTCCCTGCCGACCTCCGCTGACTACAACCTAACCACCTTCCAGGCCCACTTCACCTTCCACGGAAACTGCACCCACAACCCTGTCATCTTCTTCACGCCCAGGAGCAGTGCTTACAACAGAGCTCTTTGACCTTGACGAGCTCTACTTCACTTGCTGGCCAACAGAGCTCTTTGACCTTGACGAGCCCTACGTCACTTGCTGGTGACGCTGGCTACATCCTGAGCTTCTACCACGGAAAAGAAGGTCGAGTTCGACGATCACTCGGCCCGGGATAGTTTCATCCCGCTCTTCGATGGCTCCCCAACAGGATACCGCGAATGGCCGAAGAGGATCTTGATCTACTACCGGAAGATGTCCCTGTCAAAACGGCAGGGTGAAGCCATCCTGAACTTGCTGGGCAGCCTCTCGGGAACCGCATGGAAACTATGCGAGGACTTCAATTTGGACAAGGCTGAAGACCCAGAAGCACTCCAGGAGATCTTGAAGATTCTTGATGGCTCCTTCCAGTACGATGCAAATGTTGAGATGCCAGCTGACTTTTCTTCATACTTTGAGCATTTGGCTCGCAAGCCAGGTCAGACCTTGCTGAACTACGTGACTGACCACGACGACCGGCTGAAGCAGATCGAGAAGCACGGTGTCCGACTACCCAGCCAAATACAAGGTTGGTTCCTCCTGGCCAAGGCCGCTCTGACGCGTGAGCAGAAGCAGATGATCAGGCCGCCTCCCTCGAGCAAGTCAGGACTACAAGGGCGGTGGACAATTCCTCAGAGATCGATGGAACTGTGCTGGATCCGGCAAGGGTCGCTCCTACTTTGCCGGTGATGACGCCGAGGCCTTCTTCGAATGGGGCGACAACGCCCCAACCTAGGAGGAAGAGGATGATGCTGCTACATGGACGATGATGAAGGCTATGATGATTCATGGTGGGAGTCTTTTGACGCCGACGCCGCCTACTACCAGGAAGAACCTGATGAGCACGGGCATGGGATTGACCCCGAAGAGTACGATGAGGCATACGCCTCTTATGTTGATGCTCACAAATGCTTCAACGACTTGAAGCTCAGCAGAGGATTTCTTCCAGTGGTGGCTCTCCAGGACTCCGGCCCTTCATCGAGCTCTACCTCTTCGCAAAAGCCCTTCAAGGGCATGGGAAAAGGGAAGAAAGGCAAAGGCAAAGGAACGGGGAAAAGTAGCACCTACCGCTATGACCGACCTCCAGCAAAGCCCACGGATCCAAAAGGACGAGCTCGTGCTGCATTGGCCCCAGCATGCATGCGATGTGGCTCAACCTCTCACAAAACAGCACAATGCACTCAGACGAGCTCTATACGTCCAAACCGGCTTCTACGGCAAGCGGCAAACGCCAAGCAGTCGAGAGTATGGCCATCATGCCAGAGCCCTCGATCGAGCCTGAGCCTCCGAGCATTCCTCAAACTCCACTGCATCTCGACCCGGTGACATCAGAAGCCTACAGAACTCCATCAGCTCCTGAGACCTTTGAGCAACAGTGACTACGACTTGATAAGCAAGAAACCCTGTCCTTTGGTCCTCGACGACCACGGCATAATGAGCAGCCAAGCCCTTATGCGAAGCCTCCTCACGAGACTGGTGAAAGCTCAAGCAAAAGCTGGCTGACTTCTGGGAAGTCAAGGGAGGATGCCTCATTCGCCATCATGTACGACCTCGCTCGAAGAAGTTTCTACCAGGCGATCAGGCTGACTTTTGAGTGCCCTTGGAGAAACTCGATGACATCAGAGTCACCATCTTTCGTGAGTCTGGCCAAGATCCTTCGGCGGTTACAGACCACTTCAAGACCGAGAATGTGTTCAAGAGACACTCCAAAAAGAGGCCGCCAAAGGTCTACCTCCAAAGTGGGTTGGATGCACGATCTTCCAGATCAATGCCGTGACCCGCAAAGAACTTGGCATGACTGCAACCTTGTCTTCGAGCTCACCTACTTCCTTGAAGCCTATTCGAAAGGCAGCTCAGCACATGAAGAACCAACAACTCCGACACATCAAGAAAGAGAAAATAGCAAGTCGGAGATTCGAGAGAAGAACCTCACTCAAGCAGAACAACAGTTGTTCTATGAGGCCAAGTGCAAAGAGCTTCGCAGCTTCTTCGAATGCGGAGTCTGGGAGTTCACCACCTCAAACAAGGCTGACGCAGATCGAACCCTGTCAAGTCGAATGCTGTTGAAATGTGCAAAGAATTCAGATGGCACTCCAAGAGCCAAGGCCCGATTGGTTGTTCGTGGCTACAACGATGCTGATGCATTGGCTGGCGTCCTGGACACTCAATCGCCTACGGCGTCGAGATTGGCTCGCAATCTGCTGCCCTCTATTTCTGCCATGTTGTGATGGAGCGGCTGGTCCGCCGACGTGGCAACCGCGTTCCTCCAAGGAATGCCACAGACGAGACAACTTTGGCTTCGTCTTCCAGCTGACTCCTTGCACATCCTTGGATGCGGCCCTGACCCGCATGGCATTGATCAAGCCTGTCTACGGACAACTGGATGCACCGCGTCTCTGGTGGCAAGAGGCCACAAGAAGGCTAACTCAAGAAGGGTGGACACCACATGACCTTGATCCATGTCTTTTTGTACTTCATCATCACCATGACGATGGATCCACCGTTCCTTGTGGCCTTATAGCACTCCACGTAGACGACATGCTTGGAGCAGGAGATCGCAGTTGCCCCACCTATGTTGCAGCTGAACAGCTGAACGTCGTCTGAAAGAGGTTTTTGACTTTAGAAGTTGGCAAGAAGACCATGAAGCCATGGAATACTGTGGCGTGATCCACAACCGCAAGGACTTTAGCTGGACATTGTCGCAAAGCCACTTCATGCAAAAGGTCAAACCTGTGACTGTTCATCGAGGACGTGGACCTGAAGACCCGATGAATGAACATGATAGAGGTCCGAAGTCTGCAATGGCCCTCAGTCCAGTCACAACCTCATTTGCAGGCCAGCTGCAGTTTGATCAGTGGTCAACAGCGCACCGGAAAACTTCGCGCCATCATGGAAGCCAATGCCTTGCTCAAGTTTGCCAAGGAACATGCTGATGTGACTTTAAAGTATGAGCCTTTTGAGTCTGTCAACAACCACACCGACCTCTCCAAGATCCGCCTGGTGGTAATGTTTGATGCCTCCCATGCAGCTCGGGAGGACCACACCTCTCAACAAGGTCACTTGGCAATTCTCGTGGTAGAGGAGGTCTTTGAACAAGAGACACCATACCATGTGGTTGACTGGCGCAGTTACAAACTGCCTCGAGTCGCTCGCTCCAGCCTCAGTGCCGAAGCTCAAGCAGCTGGCGGCGCCAGTGACAGCCCAGAATACATCTGCAGGTTCTGGTCCATCATCTTTGACCCGCGGCCAAAGCTTCGAGAACGACTACAAGAAAGTTCGCCTTTGCGACCTACCATGGTCACTGATGCAAAAGCTCTCTACGATGCATGGCGCAAAGAGACCACTACCTCCGCAAGTTCATCAGTGGACAAGCGCACATACCTTGAGAGCAGAGGATGTCTCAAATGGGTCAGCAGCGAACGGCAGTTCGCTGATGGTTTGACAAAGAGCTCTACAAGAAGCCTCTTAGCTGGCCACCTAAGACGACATCGCACCAAGTTGGCTTGGGACCCAGAGTACACCTCGGCCAAGAAAAAGAGCAAACAAGAACGTGAAGAAAGCCGGCAAGAATTTGCCGAAACGAAGGTGAAGAAGAAGACCACTACAAAACAACACAAACCACCACAACTTCAACTCAACTCCACCGAACACCTTGACAGCGTGCAGGAAGAGTCGAACTATGAGGATGAGTATGCCAAGCAGGATGAAGCCATCGAGTCTGGTCCTATCTCATGGCCTAGCTCTACGTCCCTGAGAACCTCAATGGCGATGATGATCTACTTCACACAGATCAAGGCTGTCACGGCCGAGCCCTCAGGTGACTTCACGCAGCTGAGCCTGCTGAGGAATGGTCGATCCTGACCTACCTGTTCCTCCTTGTCCTCGTCATCACCCTCCTTGTGAGCCGCAGGCAGGTGAGCGACCTGAAAGTCAAGTTGAGGGTGGCACAAGCTCGCAATCAGCGACACTTTGACAGCGCCTTGGATGACCAAAGCCTGTTGTTCGACCGCTACATCTCGCAGCTTGAGAACGATTTGGTGAAGGCTGCAGAGGCCCACGCGGAAACCCGCAGGCATCACAACGAGATGATGGAACAGTGGCGCATAGAGCAGCAAGAAGCTGAAGAAATGACCACAGGCCTTCCGACGGTGCCAAGCCTTGTTGTCTCGCTGCAACGGGGAACTCCTGGACCACTTCACTGTCCCATCACGATGGGCGCCCACGTGACACCTTTTGGTCACACCTTCCACACTCGAGCTGATTGCCATGGCCTGAAGCAGGCTCACCGTGTCGATCGACGTCCTTGTTGCGCTTTTTGCAACCCAACTCCTCAGACTCCTCGCTGAGTAAATGGCTTGAGCGGCACCACCCTTCAGGAAGATATGATGTCCTGGAGAAGACAATATGGAAACCTGCCATACGAGGAATGGATGGTCGATTGAAAAGCTGGCGAGTCCTCCTTTTGTTTAGAACACCTTTTACCGGTGTGAGTTTGCATGTGGACAAACCAGGCCACTTGTCAGTATGTTTCATGATGTGTTTCATTTGGCCATTATGGCCCGAACCTGATTCCACCTTAGGGTGGGTGATCGGTACTTCGTGCGTTCTGAACCGCTACTTGGTCCTTGGTCCTCCGCAACCAGTGTCCAAGTGACAGCAAGAATTATGGCTTCGAGCCAGGCTCTGAAGTCAAAAGAAAGGCCTTCACTAGCCTTTGCAACGCGTATCCAGGCATTGTTGCGGTAGTCCTGCAACAATTCCCTTTCTTCACCAAAGTCCTTCAAATGCCCGTTTCACTGCGCAGGAGAACACAGAACTTACAGCACGGAGCTTGCGGGAACTACACGTGTATTGTGAGCAAACTGACCTGGATGTTCAGTGGAAGATCTGGAGCTGTTGCGATGCTTTGAGGTCAGCATCCTTTGGAACATTTTGTTATTTTAGCTGTTCTTTTTGTCGGCATTGAGTATTGCCGTCAATGTCAGCAGATGTTATCAGTACATGGTATGCATGCGTGTGACATGCCAGTATATGCTATGAGATACTTATCAGTAGCATGGCTAGCCGGCCCTGTTTGCCAGCGTCGAAGCTGTGCAAAAGGGTCTGGACCTTGCCAGGTGTGTGCTGCTGTGGCTCATGATCAACGCGGGCCGCTGGTATTTGTACGCTTTCATGGTGCATGAAGAAGGCAGAAACGACGGGAGCTTTACTGGCCGAGGTCTGACAGTCGCTGAGTGACACTGAGTGGAGTGGCGTGGGTCGTTGACGAATCAGGGCCGTTTTTTTGACAAGTCTTTAAGTCAATTGAGTCAATTGAGTTGGGAACGAGCTTGAAGGAGTGAAAGGACGAAGTGCTTTGAGCGCTTTGAGCTGCTACTGTGATTCACTTGTTCCTAGTAGCTTCTTGTCTCTGTTGCAAGTTTTTGTGCTTGACAGGAGCCATGAGTTACTTCATCACTGGAAGCTGGAGCACGTGCATCCTCGTGGTGGCGAGCTTTTGGCAGGTGAACTGTTCGTTGCTTTTTTATGCCTTATCTTTTTTAGTTTCCTAGATAATTCAGGCTGTATCCATGTTCATCCGTTTGCTTTCTTCCTGTCTTGTGGCAGGTCAAGACTTCCCATGCAATGCTCCTTATTGTCAACTCTTGGAGCGCCTGGTTGGTGGGTGGTGCAAGCTGCGCTGAAGCTCAGATCATTCGGATCTTCCTTTGTTCTTGCCGAAGCCACACCCTAAAAGGTTGGGTCGCGCCTGGCTCTGCTTGTCAACGAGAACTGTAGCTAGCCACCACAAGCCAACAAAGCGGCAAACTGTGCTTTAGAGGAGGATGCTTTTAGTTGCTTGCTGGTTAGAGGTGGGGCATTACATGTGTAATGTAGCCTCTTATGCAGTGTCGGCCGCTTATCAGGCAACCTTCTATGTTTAGTTTGTTCTATATTCAGGAGTAGCCAAGAAACAAGACAACTTTAGAAGCAAGCAAGCACACAAGGAAACAATTGCAGCAGCGTTTGCAAGTCTGAAAGCGAGTGCGAACCTGAAAGCCTATACCTGCTACAATGACACATCCACCTCGTGTGTTGAGGCTTGATTTGTGCAAAGGACTAGGACCACTGCGATTGATGGTACAGAAGAGGCCTGACATGAAATGAAGTTGTCACCGAAATCTAGGAACCAAATGATTAGTTGGTGAGCTATCCTGCGTCCATATGTAGGAGCGTCCTGTACCTAGCTAATAGATCTTCTAAGTAGTAACGGCCTCTTCTATCCGCAGTCTACCCCCCACCGGGCTTAAAAAGTGAAAAAACGGTTGGCATAAGCGGCATGGAACTGTCAAGGCCAACTGCAAGTTTGCAAAATAGAACCCAACATTTCATAAGTTAACCAAGACCAAAAGAACATGCGCACACAAAGATCACGTAATGCATGTGCACCCATAGCTGACATAGCACATAATGCAAGCTGTGCCGTAGCCGTATTAACATAGGGACTTCAAGTATCCTCCTTCCCTTCGGTGGCTGAGACCTCAACACTGCCTCGGAAATACTGGGTCGTAAGAAGTGCAACACCCACGGCTAGCGGCTAGAGCATCAAATGCATTTGATGGGTCCCAGTGCTTGCATTGTTACCAGTGGCTTCTTGCTACTAGTAGCGATGGCCTCCACCTAGTAGCGTCTTGCTTGCATGTATTTCTGGCATTCCTTTCTCTTTTGCGAGGAAGCAAAGCGCCAGTGGCGACGCGTTAGTGGTCTCTTCCGAAGGACCTCCCGGACCTTTGAGCGATGCTTTGCTGCGCTGGGCTCCACGAAGCTCGGCACCAAGTGAGTCGAACAAAGATAAAAGCACAGCTGCTCAACTCATTCCGTGCAAGCCATATCACGTCATTGCTACTAGGAGCAAGGACGCTACTAGGGGCTCCTGGCCTTACTACTAGGAGCAATGTTCGCTACTAGGAACAAAGGGCATCGCTACTAGGAGCAAGGACGCTACTAGGGGCTCCTGGCCATACTACCAGGAGCAAGGACGCTACTAGGAACAAAGGGCATCGGTACTAGGAGCAAGGACGCTACTAGTAACATTGCTATTAGGTTGGCCATTGCTAGGGTCTCAAGGTCCAAAGGAACCTCACACCCGTGTGGTAAACCATGTGGTCTACGGTTCTCACAATGGTCACAGAGGGTTCACACTGGATGGTGGGACTCTGGGTTTGAGCTTCATTCTTTCCAACGACTCCATGTCCCGCCTCAACTGTTTCCCCTTTCCCCAGACTGAACCATCATAATCATATACTCTATTCAGATCGTCTTTGATGTCTTTGCCCACTCCCAACAAGTTAAGCTGGAATCTTCATCGATGGCCTCCAACCTTAAGTTTCCCTAATGAGGGCAGCGAGGGGAGCTTCCTTGAAGAGGCGCGAGCTATCCCGCGTCCTAGGTAGTAGCTACTTATGCTACTAGCTACCTCTTCTACTAGCTACCCGGCCTACCCCCCCTGGCTAAAAGAATTTCACTTGTTTTTGCCCAAGGATCGTGATACTCCTGTTGATGGCTCTCTATGATCTCCGCCAAGGCCTTTTCTTGAAGAACATGCATTTAAGGAAGAACTTTTTGAAACAAAGTGAGGATTGTTCATGCTTTTGGGGTTCGGTTGCGTTCTTGTTTTTTGTTGCATTCTGAGCTGAACAGGACGAGATCTCCAAATCCTGGCGAGTTGCATCATGGCCTTTTTCTTGCCGGGCGTCCTGTTGACCCATGCTTCGACCACAACCGCTTGCAACCGGCTACCGTCTTTGGTGACCCTGTGCGAAGCAGATGAGGACGAGGAGGATGAGTACATGGATCTTGCGATGCGACCTGGACAGACACAGATTGGCATGAGCACCCCACTGTCACCAAAGAAGCTTCTTCTTACAGATGTTTGTGTGGCCGGCTGGCTGCGGGCGAACGTACACACAAAATCACATACAGAGTTTTGCATCTCCAATGTTTCTTTGTACCACCACTCTTTTGGCATCTGATAGTACAGTGAGACGCCCACTGTCAAAAGTAGGTCAGTGGTAGCGATTCGCCGATATCGGCAGAGAGAAGCACCGAGGTTCCTGTCCTTGAGCGAGTGCGGCTTCTTCATGTGGGACACCTGTGTTAGTCTTGGACTCGTGCAGAAGTTCTTGTACTTCACTGGGGCCATTGCTGGTAGCATTGGTTTCCAAGTCGGGGCCTTCAACTTCACTGCCTGACTGACTCTTAAATCGCTGAAATAAGCGAAAACCACTGATGCAACCAATGCGATCTAAAAAGATCAGACTTCTGACTGAGATGGCCGGTATGGTCGAACATCGAGTGCCCAGCAATCCTGGAGCTCAGTGCAGGTGGAAATGCTGCCAATAATTTTCTCCAGTTCCCTGACATGTGCGAAGCACTGTATCACTTATACTTGAACTTATCTCCGTGTTCTTCTCCCAAGTTGCGCCGCTACGAACAGCTGTGGCTAACACATGGCATCAGCAAGGGAAAGCTATCACACCATTAATAAGGTGTTTGTAGAAGATAGCTTGCAGTACTACGCACAAGCTACCAGCTTGCAGAGATTCAGCCCAAGCGGCGTCAACCAAGTGGAGGCGAACCATGTGCCTTTTGCGTGAAATCTTCCTAGATTTTTGGTGCTTTGTGGCTGTACAAGTTGGTTGAGGGCCCACTGGCACAGAGCACATTCTACCGTGCCACCGTACAGCGACACAGGCAGCGTCCCAGTGACTGAAAGCGTGTGTGCACGAGGGTACACGTAGATGACATTGACATCCAATGTATTTCATGAAACAAAATGACATTTTTTTGACTAGTAACAAGTGCATCGCTTCTAGTAACAAGTGCCTTACTACTAGTAACAAAAAGCTATTAGTAACAAGTGCCTTACTAGTAGTAACAAGAAGGATTATTGGTGTCAACATTGTCAACTACATGTGACAATGCCCCGTGCAGCCGTGCAGCCTGGATCACTTAATCCTTGGCGTGGGTAGGATGCTGTAGGATTGGGAATTCTGTGAGAACACTATTGAACACAAGGATGGCCATCGAGTTTTATTAAAAGTTGTTATGCGCCTAATTTTGCTGTTTGCTTCGACTCATGCTTCGGCATTGCTAGAGCAATATTGTCCAATTCAACATTCCCGGCCTCCACTTGGACTTGCAGATCTAATTAGATTGCTCATCCTTCCTGCGTCGTGGGTGCTGATACCACCACGCCTCGGTCACATCTTTCAGATCGCTGCAAAGGCAGTCAACATACAATGTGTTTGACAGCTGGGGCCTGGGAGAAAAGTTTTTGTTGTCCTATGAGGCAGAAGTAAGGCGCATGGAATGTTTATTGACGAAAAACACAGCATAAGAAGAACAACTAGCTCTTGAAGGGGCCTTACCTTTTTCCTGCCAGATATGCTGGCTGCATGTACATGCTAGTCCAGCCGGCCATGTCAACAGCTACAGAACTTGACTTTTTTGCTTCGTTGGATTCTGCGTAGCTATTTGGGGGTCTAACGGCATAATTATTCTTTTATTTGTTCTTCTGTATTCTGTATTTATGCAAAACGGACGGAACGTGAAGACTTTTTTTCGTGCTACGGAATCCATGATATTTCTCACGACGTTCCGAAGATTGACGTGCCCATGTTGTGGACATCTCGTCTCGTTCTCATGCTCTTAAACCCAACGAGGTCTGACCGCCTGTTGAACCATTGGGCTTTGAAGGACGCGCGCTCTCTGCCGTCGAAAACGAACCTGTGACTCTTTTGCTGCGTCGCCGTGACATCTTCATGACATTGTGAATAGACGTCGTCGTCATTGTAAATCATTTTACGCAAACGGTTTCATCTCACCACCATGTCCTACCCGGTGCATGTCTTGGCAGTTATTACACCGTGATACCTTCACCCCGGACCTCACCTCATGACCTCGTGCTTTGATACCTTCTTTCTTTCAGGAAGTAAGCAGAGAAGCCTTGAAACATTTGGATATGAAGTGGTCTTGAAAGTGGCATCGCATATCATTATGGCCGGGGACGGGGTTACGTGCAAAGGCGCCTAAGGGCCTACAGTCATCTCTCTCGCCAGCAAAACAGAACCCCGACGCTCCTTTGCGCTGTGTGACGCGCTGTCCTTGTTACTAGTAGCGATGCCCTTTGCTACTAGTAGCTGCTTGTTACTAGTAGTAATGCCAGGAGCTACTAGTAGCATCCTTGCTCCTTAGTAGCGATGCCCTTTTTTACTATTATATAGTGAGTAGTGATTTGTGCCGCTGCTTCTCCATGGCAGGAGCTCCACTTTTTTGAGTACATTGATTGCTTCAACGAGGCCAAGTATGCCTCCACTTGGAAATCAATCCTTTTGTTTGCCGTAGCAATGTTTCAAGCATGTGAACAGGTCGCATGGAAGAATTTTTGATAGGCTCACAGTCGAGTGGGGAAAGTGGTCTTATTCTTCAGTTGCCCAAAAGGGTCAGTCAGGGCTGAGAAAGAGAAGCTGCCTGAGGGGCTTCACAGGCTGAGCTCTTTGAGCACATGTGCTAGTGGCCCCAAGTCCTTGTGATGCACTGGGTCCAAGTGGTCATTGCTTGCTTAACCCTACCCCCTCCAATGTTTCATCCCGCCAGGTCACTGGAATGGAGATCGCAGCTGGGCAAGACCCCTTTCAGCACGGACACCCAAAGATCAACACATGTGGAGACTTCTTGTCCCTCCTCGTGTCCCTCCGTGCTCGGTGATAGGTATCCAGGGATTTGTAGCGAAAGAGACTGGTGAGTGCCAGGTGTGAAAGGAGTATATATATATATATATACAAAGACCACATAGAAGACTTTGTTTGTTCTGTTTCTACTAGCGGCGATGCTGCTGACCTCTCTGCGTGTCTTTCTTTCTGTGTCCTTTCGCCCAAGGCCCTCTCGCAGCACACTCCTTGCGTTCGATTGGGACCTGCTCACAGATTGGTGGTCGGCCCGGGGCTCTAAGCCAAGGCCGAGCCTTGAAGCTTGTTTGTCCAGCGGTTTGAACTTTCTTCGGTGCGTTTGAATCCCTGTGGTGAGTTTCCTTGAGCAAATTGCGCACTCCCTTGTTTGGAGGGAAGCATGAATGGTTTGGATGGTCAGTGACATTTTTCGTGCCACATCACATGCCCCGATATGATCGAAGGACCACACGAACTGGGCCACCGTGGCAAGACAAACCCTCAGGTTTGCTCCAATTGCGCTGCTGGTTCTGCTTGGATTGGCTTGGCGAGATTCTCAGAGACATGAAATAGGGAGACCATTGCTATTAGGTTGGAGGTCTTAGGGTGGAGGCCATCGCTATCAGGAAGCAGCCTGTTCAAGAGTGACTTAGTGACTGGATGGTTGGTGGAAGACTTACAGACTCCCCAAAAGGTGGTGTATATGGGCCCCCATCTAAGAGACATCTTGGGGTTTGTGCCATTTTCTCTGAAACCATTGCAAATGAAGGTCCACATGCAGAGAAGCCCATTAGCAAATCCTTCCAGGGTCCCAATGTGAAACTGGGGCGCATATAGCGAGAAAGGGGACAGAGGAAAAGGAGAGGCCGCTGGAGTGCAACAACAAAAGCGTCCTTGTTACTACTGGTATGGCACTTGTTACTAGTAGCGATGCACTTGTTCCTAATAGCTTCTTGTTACTACAGTAAGGCACTTGTTACTACTAGCGTGGCACCTGTTTGTAGTAGGGTTTGTGGAACGATGTCAGAGATATGCCATTATCCGACCTGCCCCTCAAGGCCAAGAAAAGGGGCCCTTGCCCTTTTTGGTTGATGTTCCGGATAAATCACACTCGTCATGACCATCATGGCGCCCATATCTAGACCATTGCTGATGGATCCAACGAACCATTGCTGATGGGCTTTATGCAGCGTGTTTCGGTTTTCTGGGCGCACCTAGCGCTGCCCAGTCCCTCCCCGAGCCGCGAAATGTCCGCTGCGTGCGCTTGTGGCTTGGAGGGCAGCTTAGTTAGCGCCTTTCATCAAGTCACAACGAAATGAAACACTTTCCTTTCTGCTCCGGACTTTTAGCATCAGGCATTTTGTCTCGGACTCCACTTTGTGTAGGCTAGATGCTTGTGAACACTCGTTTTTGTTCAATTTAGTTGGCCTATTTATTGTAGTAGGCCTTGTTTGAACGCTTTGGTCTTGGACTTAATTCTCTCCAGGTCTGTAGAAAACGGAAATATACATAAAACAAATACAATGTTGTTTAGCATTGTTCTTCTCCTCAACGACTCCGCTTTCCTGAGATTGCCAAGCTTTTCTTGCTTAAGCGGGATGGACAGGGGTTCAATCCGGACAATCCAGATGCTTGATCTGACACAATTTAGCGAACATGTAATCAATTCATAGGTGCCCAACAGCTGTTGGTCCCTCAAAGAGTGAGCCTGAAGGGTTTCTCAGCAGTGCTCCTTTCTCAAGTGTCACAGGTTTCAATCGAGTGTGGCGCCCAATGGTTTGAATCTTCCTTGGTCGGGACCCTGGAACTGCCAAGTGCTGACAATGTGACACAGTCGCTTCAGGCCCCTCAAGCGCTATAAGCCACAAGCTTTGAAGAGACATTCGACATTTTCTTGAGATTAGTTGCGACATGAGTCATGCAGCCAGCAGGTTTACCAATTCATTCAGCTTGGAGAAGTGGAACGGGAATGAGTGGGTCCCGCCTCAGAGAGCTGTTGAAAGGGTTGGAAAGGGTTCGAAGGTTTTGCAGGACCAGAGGACCAGAGGCCCTGAAGAACAAGCTGGCATGCAAGCCAGGGACAAACTCGTTGCTTTCACAAGTGCCAAGAACAAAGCACAACAAGCAGGTGCCATCTTACTTCATTTCAGAGTCTCTCTGACACACATCCTTGCGTCGTATGGGGGTGGCTGGATGCAAACATATAGATAAAGAGTCCCAAGAACGACAGGGGAAAATTGAAAGGGGTGGGGCCAACCTTGAAAGGGGAACGCAATTGTTGGCTGTTATTTTTTGTGTTGCTATGTCTTTTGGCACGTCCACTATTTGGTAAGTCCTTCTACCTGTTGTGACCATGCGTTGTTCAGCTACTACTTGTTAGTTTGTTTCATGTGGTGAACTGAAGGTCTCTGTGGCCATCTATGGGGCATCACGCGGTGCTTGGGCATGCCCCGCACAGCTTGGTCATGTTTTGAAAGAAAGCTGTTTCGGAGAAAAGGGGGGATCCAGGCGGTTCAAAAAAGAGCATATGTTTTGTGTCCTTGCCCTTCCGGCCTGGCAGCGAGTAAAGTAGGCAGAGAGCTGGGTCCAGATTCCTTTGAGAGTGCCGACATTTGTTGACCCCCCCCCAAAGTTGCAAAATAATCTTGGACGCATTGATGGAAGATAGTTTGAGGATGAAGTCATCCCCACAAGACAGACAAGATCCAGTAATTGCAGAACACCACAGGGTTGCACAGCCAGGAGCAGCAGCTCCTATTTTCTCACAGCGCGGCCCTGCAGGAGGGTCTGGGTGGAATAAGCACCCCAGATCAAGATACAGCTACGCTGATGCATGTGCCGCTGTGCGGCGCATCTGAATAGAGGCTACAATCCTGTGTCTTAACCCGGAGCAGAGCTCCCTTGCGTAGTTGTGTGGGACTACTACGCCGCCATGGTTGTGTTGCAAGTCATCGTGAGGCATGTAGATTGAGGCTTTCCTGAACATGGAACACCGCAGGGCCTTCTGCCGTGCAGAGGAAACATGTTAAGATTAGATATTAAAGTTTCCCAAGGAATCGGGGAATCAAATGAATGGCGGGGGGAGCTTTCTTGAAGAAGCATGAGCTATCTTGCATCCAGTACTTGTAGGTAGTAGCTTGCTTAGGCCTTAGTTAATTAAGTCGGCACCTACTTCATTAAGTAAGGAGGCAGGGTAACTGGGCAACTCGGCTTAAAATATGAGGCTTCTTCAAAGAGGCTTCCCTTCGAAATCAGGCCTAAGCCCTTTGCGTCCGATCGGCAGTAGGAACTTGTTAGCTAGTAGCTACTCTCTACTTCAGCTAGTCGGTATACTCTTACCTCCTCTCTCCAGCCTCTCCCGCCTTCCTGGCAAACGGAAAAAATGATACAATTTCAATCTCCTGCGTAGGATTCAGTCTCTGGCCTCCTCGATTGGGTCCGGTGCCGGGACAGTCTTGACGGCACTTAGGGAAAGCAGCTGTTGCGGGCTCTTGGGGCGGCATTGACGCACAAGCGCAGTGACAGTTGTTGCAGATTTATCTAACAGTTGCAGTGACAGTTCTTTTTGGCAAATTTTTCCAATTCTGGATTCTGGACAGACCTACAATGGACTCCTAGACCAGACCCAGATCCTTTAGCTGGGACACGTGCTGATGGCGTCTCCTCCGAAGTGAACAGCACCCAGCACGATTATATAACCACTTGCCAGTAGACAGTTTCACAAGGCACAAGAACAGTTCATCTAGACGCACGATCTCGGAACCAAGGATGGGGGTTGATGTGATCAGTCGTTTCACTCATGGATTCAGATAGGAAGTCTGCCTTTTCGGGGTTCGGGGCGGTTCGGTTGTGTCTGGAATTTCAGGTCACTCAGGCAGACAGGCAGGAACGTCTGTCGGTCGGCGTGTTTAAATTGGGAACGTCGGTGTGTCGTGATGATTCGGTCGGGTATGTTTGGGCCGCTAGTAGTAACAGGTGCCACGCTAGTAGTAACAAGTGCCTTACTAATAGTAACAATAAAGCTATTAGAATTAAGTCTATTTTTAAAGTAAATTAATAGCTTTATTGTTACTACTAGTAAGGCACTTCTGTATATATATATATATGGTACAGTCAGGGCACAATCAAGGCAAGCAAGGGGGCATTTTGATGCTGGAGAAACAGGTTGAAGCAGTTTGCTTAGCCCTGAAAGGGGTCTAGTTATAGCTGCTATGAGGCTACATGTACGACCAGAGCACCACCTGACTCAAGATGAACTTGCTTGGACTGCAGGTTTTGATCTGGTACTTCCTTTCTTCACCCTTCCATCTTAAGGGCCCCTTTGGTAAGGCATCCCTTTTAAAGGGTGCCAAATCACCTTTTTCTCTTTATGCAATCTCCTTCCATCCCCTTCCCACTTTCATTTCTTTTTTGTCTTCAAAAGCTTGGCTCGAAGGGCTGCTCACACTCTCACAGGAATCCATGACAATCTGTAACGAAGTGGAACAGATGAGTTAGATCATGTTTGATGCACTGATTTGACCAGGGCTGGCATGAATTTAAACCATTGTCACCACAGTGTCAAAGATCGCCCGTGTCTCTGGAGCTGGTGCTCCGTGCCCTGTACCATGCTTTCGGAGGGCAGCTCAGAGACCCAAGAGGCGACACTCTCGATCGAGTCTTCACCACAAGGTACGATCGAGTCCAATAGCAATGGCCTCCAACCTACTTGCGATGGCCTCCAACCTGATGGCCTCCAACCTACTTGCGATGGCCTCCAACCTACTTGCGATGGCCTCCAGCCTAAGAGCGATGGCCTCCAACCTACTTGCGATGGCCTCCAACCTAAGAGCGATGGCCTCCAACCTACTTGCGATGGCCTCCAACCTACTTGCGATGGCCTCCAACCTACTTGCGATGGCCTCTAACCTACTTTGGATGGCCTCCAACCTTGCGATGGCCTCCAACCTACTTGCGATGGCCTCCAACCTAAGAGCGATGGCCTCCAACCTAAGAGCGATGGCCTCCAACCTACTTGCAAAGGCCTCCAACCTACTTGCGATGGCCTCCAACCTAATGGCGATGGCCTCCATCCTAATAGTCATGGCCTCCACCTGCTAGCGATGGCCTCCAACCTACTTTGGATGGCCTCCAACCTACTTGCGATGGCCTCCAACCTACTTGCGATGGCCTCCAACCTACTTGCGATGGCCTCAACCTACTTGCGATGGCCTCCAACCTAAGAGCCATGGCCTCCAACCTACTTGCGATGGCCTCCAACCTACTTGCGATGGCCTCCAACCTACTTGCGATGGCCTCCACCCTACTAGCAATGGCCTCCAACCTACTTTGGATGGCCTCCAACCTACTTGCGATGGCCTCCAACCTACTTGCGATGGCCTCCAACCTACTTTGGATGGCCTCCAACCTACTAGCGATGGCCTCCAACCTACTTGCGATGGCCTCCAACCTTTTTTGGATGGCCTCCAACCTACTTGCAATGGACTCCAACCTAAGAGCGATGGCCTCCAACCTACTTTGGATGGCCTCCAACCTACTTGCGATGGCCTCCAACCTACTTGCGATGGCCTCCAACCTAATGGCGATGGCCTCCATCCTAATAGTCATGGCCTCCACCCTACTAGCGATGGCCTCCAACCTACTTTGGATGGCCTCCAACCTACTTGCGATGGCCTCCAACCTTACTTGCGATGGCCTCCAACCTACTTTGGATGGCCTCCAACCTACTTGCGATGGCCTCCAACCTACTTGCGATGACCTCCAACCTACTTGCGATGGCCTCCAACCTACTTGCGATGGCCTCCAACCTACTAGCAATGGCCTCCAACCTAAGAGCGATGGCCTCCAACCTACTTGCGATGGCCTCCAACCTATACTTGCGATGGCCTCCAACCCAAGAGCGATGGCCTCCAACCTAGCGATGGCCACCAACCTACTAGCGATGGCCTCCAACCTACTACTGATTGCCTCCAACCTACTTGCGATGGCCTCCAACCTACTAGCAATGGCCTCCAACCTAAGAGCGATGGCCTCTAACCTACTTGCGATGGCCTCCAACCTACTAGCAATGGCCTCCAACCTAAGAGCGATGGCCTCCAACTTACTTGTGATGGCCTCCAACCTACTAGCAATGGCCTCCAACCTACTAGCGATGGCCTCCAACCTCCTTGTGATGGCCTCCAACCTACTAGCAATTGCCTCCAACCTAAGAGCGATGGCCTCCAACCTACTTGCGATGCCTACTTGCGATGCCTCCAACCTACTTGCGATGGCCTCCAATTTACTAGCAATGGCCTCCAACCTAACTGGCGATGGCCTCCAACCTACTTGCGATGATGGCAATGGCCTCCAGCCTAAGAGCGATGGTGGCCTCCAACCTACTTGCGATGGCCCCCAAAGCGATGGCCTCCAACCTGTTTGTGATGGCCTCCAGCCTGCTTGCGATGGCGTCCTTCATAACGACACGGTAATGGAAGCTTGCAGGCAAGACAGACGCATGGGGGCCATGCCACTTTAAGTGGTAGCAGAGAGCTCCGTCGTAGGACTTTCCAAACCTTGCCCAGTGCATCCGAGTTACCACTATATAAGGAACCAACTGGTTACCAGCTATAGTGGTAACTGGATGCACTGGATGGACATCGTGAAATTGCGAATGGGAGGACTTTCAAGACTTGGTTTTGATCTCAATACCTTTCAACCCCGGGCTGCAACACCCACACCACCAGTAGTTTTTAGTCTGCAACTCTTTGAACATCCTTCATGGGCTCCCTACTGATAACAAGCGTAAAGCCTGAGACGCTTTTTACATGGTAGGCCGCACACAAGCCGCACACAACTGCCAGGACTCCATTCAATCGCGCTTGCAGTTCCGTTCTGAAGTCTCTGAAGTCTCCGCCCAGCAGCTGGGTCCGATCGAGGAATATGATGATGAGGAGGAGGAAGAGGACCCAGCAGTGCCCCGTTCCTATGGACTTGGATTCTGGACTAGGAGCAAGAAGCCTGGCCTTACTACTAGGAGCAAGGACGCTACTAGGAGCAAAGGGCATAGCTACTAGGAAGAAGGACGCTACTAGTAGCTCCTGGCCTTACTACTAGTTACTATATAGTAACAGGAAGCTACTAGGAACAAAGGGCATCGGTACTAGGAGCAAGGACGCTACTAGTAGCTCCTGGCATTACTAAGTCCAAGGTCTTAGATGTCATCATTCTTACTCGTAGCAGCTCATGCCGTAGCACAGCAGGATGAGGAGATGGTGGAGATGCCACAGCGGGCCTTACCTGCAAAGCCAGGCAAGCTCACAAGCCGTCGCAAGCTGCAATTCCTTGGCAAGTTAGTTCACACACCAGACATGCCACATGTGTTCTACACCCACACGGCCACCGTGGCACGGGGTGTCCAGCCGAAGAGCTCAGTGCGCTTGCACACGGCAGGTGTGCCGCTCTTTGGGCCGTTGCACCAGAGGAAGGAAGCATTTCGAGACTTGGGGGAGGAGATCACCAACATCCTTAAGATTCAACATGCAGAGGCCATCGCTAGTAATGTTGGAGGTTGGAGGCCATGGCCATTAGGTTGGAGGCTTTCGCTAGTAGGTTGGAGGCCATTGCTAGTAGATTCAACATGCAGAGGCTGGCTTATGCTCGCATGGATTCATTGTTTTTGATGCCTGTTTGCTGATGTTTGCTGGCAGTTAGAATGCCCTCAGGGCAGGCATTTGAGATTGTCTCCTACTGTCTCCTACTCACATTTTTGGCAAGGACGCTACTAGGAACAAAGGGCATCGGTACTAGGAGCAAGGACGCTACTGGGGGCTCCTGGCCTTACTACTAGGAACAAGTGCATCGCTTCTAGCAACAAGTGCCTTACTAGTAGTAACAAGGACGCTACTAGGGGCTCCTGGCCTTACTACTAGGAGCAAGGACGCACAAGTCTCGTGATGCGGATCATAGCGCTCCAGGTGATGCAGCGCTTGGACCAACAGGAGACTTCGGTCAATCAAGAGGGCCATATATCGGTCAATCTATATAGTGGTCCGAATGGTTTCAGATGTTTTTAAGTTAAACATGTGTGAAGCATCCCATTTTGTACCACATATCGACCTCCGTATCGATAAGGTTTGATAGGGGTAGCTGCAAATGGCATTCAAACCTTCGATGAGTTGATGTCGGACACCACCATGTACAATCATATCTCTTCGGTGCTGGCCCCCAACCTAGTAGCGACGGCCTCCAACCCACTAGCGATGGCCTCCAACCGAATAGTGATGGCCTCCAATTTATGTTGATTCGCTTTCTGTTTCAGGATCGGACCTTGCGGGAGCTTCGGGATGTGAACGGTGCTGGAATCCGACACAGGCCATCAGTGAAGTCCGGGCGGGGAAGCATCAACAAGGACGGGAAGGCGACGGGAAGACCAAGGGATGTGGCAACCCGGGCGGCTAAAAGCGGCTAGGTCGGCTAGGATTTCCAGGGATTTGAGGATGAGGTCTTGTGGACCAGCATGTTTTCTTCGTTTGTGATTTGAGAAAAGAACCAAGAAAGAGAAGGAGAAACACCAACCTAGTAGTAGCGATGGCCTCCAACCTAAGACCTAAGAGCGATGGCCTCCAACCTACTTGGTGATTTGATACTACATGATATTGCAATGTGACTTTCTCGAGAGATGGTCCTAGTCTTCGCAGGACAAGAAGTCTGTCCACCTTGACATCCCTAAGGCAGGCTGTTTTTCCAAGCTGGAAAGGTCGCGTGCTAGGACCCTAGGTGAACTCGCCATCGCCGAGCTTTTTGCGCAACGCCCAACGAAATAGTATGGTTCAGGTGAAACAGAAGTCGACCTTCACTCCTAAGCTCTTCAGTGCTTTGGCCCACAAAATGAGGAGCAAGACAGAAGGCGCAGTGGCAGTTCTCCCATGTTCTTCCTTTCTCCGAAAGGGCGACCAAACGAAAGAAGCAAAAGGCATTTCAAACAGCTTTCAAACTTGTCACTGGATAAGCTTCAAAAGACATCTCAAAAAGCAGTCTTTGGGCGAGTTGGGTCCAGCCGAGGTTCTTTGACAGCAGTAGACCTGAAGCTCAAGGCTGGTGCGGCAGACGTGGACGCCGAGGCTGCCAAGGTGTGGCCCGGGAGACTTTTTTTGTGAGGAACGATGCGGACCACATGAAGGATTTTTGTTTTGGTTGGAGGCCATCGCTATTAGGGTGGAGGCCATCGGAAGTAGGTTGGAGGGAGGCCATCGCTACTAGGTTGGAGGCCATCGCAAGTAGGTTGG